AGATTAATTGTTTCTTGTTTAGGGGCAGAGGTGAATAGATTGCTAACATCAAATGAAAGCATAGTAATGTTGGGGTGAAGATTAATCTGTTGTAAGTTATTGACTAGATGACTTGTATTTTTGACTGGGAATCGAGGGATAAAGTTCGTCATGTTGTCAATAAGATTTAATAAAAATTTTGATAGGATGAAAGTGTTTATGAAACTAACAACTGGACGTTCAAGGGTTGCTTGGAAGTTTGTAGTATAATGCAAAATGTTTTGAGACGAAATCTGTAAAATGTTTGATATTTTCTTTTAATTTATTTATAAACTTTTCTGATGAGTCTGTTGTAAGTGGAGTAAAGTTATTATTATTAAGGAAAGTAGAGACTTTTTCATTGTATAAAGATTTCGGTTTTGATGGATTTGAAAGCATTTAAGTGATGATAACGTTTGTTTTGAGAAAACTTGGGAAAGTGAGGTGTGAAATGACTGTTTTGGTAGGAGGATGAAAAGTTTATAGATGAGGGGTGTTGGTTTTAAATACTGTTAAAGAATTAAAAGAAGAATACAGGAACTGTACTGCCAGTGTCATCATTAACGTTTATTATAACTGGGTCGATATTGTCCAGTAAATTATCGATATTCCACATCTGTTTTTCTATGCTAATTATGTGTTGCACGTAATTATTTCATTTTTGTGGAAACAAATTTCATTTTTGTTATACACTTAAGAGTACGTATTAGATTTTCTACTTGTTCCTTCTTAAAGTTTGTGTTATATCTTGCAACGAATCTTTTTATTTTACTCCATACCAGCTCTGTCGAAATTAATTCTCAGTGATATGCAGGTAATCTTAGCAACCTGACATTCTTACTCTTTGCAATTTCATCTACGATACGATCATCATACTGCGATTTAAAATGTCCTTTTAAAGCAACCACTCCTTTATTTCTTCCTTATTGTCAGAATTTCTTGGAATTCCTTCCAACTTCCTGGAGTAATACAACGATTGTCCATTGCTATTACAGTTTTATGGGAAATATTTGGAAAAGTTTAGTTTTAAACCAATATTCGAAAAGGGGTCCATCCATTTCGTCATGATAGTCCGCTGTAAAAAAGTTTTTCTTTGCTAAAAAAGTTAGTTCTGCTTCATTAAAAAAACTATCATTTCTTCCTGCATGCAGTAAAACGAGGCGTGGGCCACGTGCAGCAGACGGCTTCAAGCCTAGAGTGAGTTCACGAAAAAATGCATCCCTATGTGACGATGAAGTATCCTTACATTCATAATTGACACTGTGACCAATATTTACCTATGATAAGTCCACATATACAATGTTGCAGTTTATTTTCCGAAATGTACGAATTTCTAGCAAATATCGATGGTGCCAAGAAATAATATCGGGTTTTTCTATTAACATTGACTTTCTGTCCGTTTTGTGTACACAAATCCGATATCCTTAATTGTTCTATGCAGTGTAATTCTAGAAAAATTAGGTAGATTTTCGTCTATTTTTACTACTGCTAATAGAGAATGTAATGTTGGGGGTTTATTCTTAAAAAAATTATGCACTATTCGATGAATGCTACTCTTTGTTCCTTCATCGTAAGTTTTATCACGCGATAATAAAGTTAGCTTGTTCTTAGATCGTCTCTTTGCTGGTTGTAATCCAAGTGCCGAGGAATTTTCTTTTTTTACAAAGCAAATTGTTTTTTCGGAGCTGCAGATCTTTACTGTTGCTGTTTGTATTATATTTAAAAGTGGATCATATGATACAATAATTCACAATAATTCACCAATTCAAAATACAACACATACAATAATTCACCATGTTGACTAAGATTTGTTTCTCTCCTTATGACAATGCCTTTCCCTGGGGATATTTCACAGTACTGTTCTCCATTAATACATTCAATCTTTCTAACACAAAAAACAAGGAGTTATAAAATTTTACGGAAAGTGTATTTTATTTTGCCATTAATTTACAGACAAAGTTAACCTCATTCACACAGTTAAGGAATCGTTTTGTTTAAGTTTTGGAAAAGTGTAAGAAATGACAAAAAAATATTTTATTGAAATTTTTCAAATTATGCCTGGAAAAACTCTTACCTCATAAGCACAAGAACTCATTTTTAACTTAATTGAGTACTTTGAATTAGACAAAAATAGGAGACTGTTGGTTGGAACCGTTGTCATCTATTCAAGAGGTACAAAAAAATACAATTTTCAAATGTGCACTATTACAAAGCTTTAATGCTGACAAGTATAATTATTAATAATATTTATTTGCCAACTTTATACTTTAATAAAATATTTATACATAATTAGGAACTTTTTATTTTTTGGTTTTTTTAATTTCAATTAAAAATATTGATAATATTTTAACTTTGTTTTAGAGGAAAGTAGCTGCCTTTAAATTGGCAAGAAAAACAATATACGAAAAAGAAAATAAAAAAATCCTGTTTTGTCTTCTCTGGGGAAAAGCAGACCTCGTTAAAAAATAAAAACTATTAATTTAGGTTAGGTCAATAAAACAGCAACTCGAAATACAATATATGTATAATATGAATCAGAATAGTAATTATATCAATTTTCTGTTGAGAATTATCAGTGGGGCTTAACATATTACTGTAATATATTAAAATAAATAACATTTTAGAGAAACTTGTTAACTCTTTAAGTGTTAATTACTATTAAACTGGGAATAAGCAACAATTAAAGATAAAAATACGTTTATTGACGTTTCAATTTCCACTTCGGAAATCGTTCTCAAAATACAAACAGTAAATTAAACAAATTTTGTTTTTTGTTACATAGTGAAAAATTCTTCTAATAATTTAATTTTATCTAACTCATTTATATTGACAATTCAGATATACATTATGCATTTTAAAGTAGACGACTTTAAAATGATATTGCCAATATTGTTGAGTTGCACTCTTGGGACGACTTTATTATAAGATAGTTCATTCGATTACATGAAATCAACTTTAACATGAGAATATCCGTCAGAAAAAAATCATAGCATGTAATTCGTCTTTAAAAAGACAAACACATGACATGATGACAGTAAAATTCTCCTGTTAGTGATTCCATAGTAAATTATGAGGGAAAACCAGGAAAAAAAACCTCATAATACTATCCCGGCATTGTAAGTATGTGTTCGTGAATTTAGTTTACCTTCAACAAACATCAAAATTCTGATTTAATATGTTACGTTATTTAAAAAACATAAATGATGTATTCTCTATATATTACTGACTTACTAATACTGGTATTTTCTTATTATTAACTTCCTCTTTCAATATTGGTAACCAGATCCTACTACATTCTGCCGAGGAATTTGCGACACAATTGGCCTCATTTAGCATAATTAGAGCCGCTTCTTTGATTTTTCTTTTTTTACCATCCGTTTCTTTTAGGACTACGTTTGAATTATTCCATTGAACCGTATGTTCATTATCCCATGCGTGTTTACAGATTTGAGATCTATCAAATTCTTTATTTTTAATATAAGATTGATGTTCACTTATTCTAACAATTAGTGGCCTTGATGATTCACCTAAATAAAACTGATCGCATTCACAAGGTATTTTATAAATGCAATTCTTTGTCCTTTCTTGTTCATTGTTAGGTTTGGTTTTGGACAAAATAGATCTCAACGTGTTTGTTGTTTTGAATGTTGTTGAAATGTTGAATTTATTTCCTATCCTTTTAAGTTTTTCTGGTAGTCCTTTTATGTACGGTATTGTTATTTTCCTCATATTATTCCTTGTGTATGCTGTAGGATCTCGTTCTAAGTTGTTCTGTTCTATTCGATCGATTCTTGAAAATTCCTTATTTATAAACGATAAAGGATAATCATTTTTTAATAAAACAGATGTTAACAAATGTTTCTCCTCCAAGAACGAATTTTAAAGTCGTCTACTTTAAAATGCATAATGTATATCTGAATTGTCAATATAAATGAGTCAGATAAAATTAAATTATTAGAAGAATTTTTCACTATGTAATAAAAAAAAACAAAATTTGTTTAATTTACTGTTTGTATTTTGAGAACGATTTCCGAAGTGGAAATTGAAACGTCAATAAACGTATTTTTATCTTTAATTGTGGCTTATTCCCAGTTTAATGGTAATTAATTTACAATGCCACAAGAAAATAGCTTCAGAACAATCTTTAAGTGTTAATCAAACACATTATAAATAAAACATCAATAAGTAGAATATTAAAAGATTTGGGACTTAAATTTAAAAAAGGTGATCATCCAAGAACGTTAATTATACATATACTGAAACTGATAAAGTAACTCAAGATTAAATAAAATAAACAATAAGTTCTCTCAAAGACTTCACAAAAATACACGTCAGAAAACGTATCAGAGAATTATCACAGGAAACTATAAAAATTGACATATTTAACCATAAGCTATTAGATTTATATAATCTTTTACAAAAATAAAATAATACGCACAATAAAAAATTATATTTATTAACATTTCAAATTTAAACAAACGTAAATTGAAAATAAAAACAATAAACATTATTTATTCATACTCAAAATTTTTATTATTAATTTCATTATTAAAAACAGATAATGACACATACTGTCATCAATAATCTTATACTTAAAACAGATTGCGATGTTTAATAATTTAAATAGACTCAATGTGCAAATTACTTTAATCAAAACTTTAATATCCTAACAAACAATGATAACCAAATGAATATTTGACTGCAATCTATACGAATTCCATTGCCAATAAAACTAAGCAAATTTAATCATAAAAGCTAATGTTTTTAACAAAAAAAATATTAAAGTTTCTTGATCTTTGAAGATAGGGCCATAGGCATAGAACTAACTTAGTAATTATATATTCTGAGATATAACATGAACATTTTCCGTTTCTACATGTACAAAACGCAACAGTCAAATTCGCCTGTTTATTTGCGCTTTATACACCACGTTCACGTTAAATCCGAAGCAATCAAATAGCAGCCACAGAAATGAAATTTACCTTTTGGGCAACGAAAATTTCATATGCTGCACAAACTCCTGCCACCGTAATCCCTTGTTCTTTGCAAAGCATCGCTGTCGCCATGGATATCATTGAAAGCAGAAGATATCTCCAACCTGAAAATAAAGGAAAACGTGTAAAATAGCAATTTCTAAATGCTGTGAAGTTAGATGTATATTAGTTTTATTTGCTATATAGGGTGAAAGTGGGAAATTAAATAATATGGAATTGTGTAGGATAAAATTATTGAAGAAAAAAATGTTAAAAAAATATTTATAGCTAATATTGTTGGTCAATGTAACATATTTAGATACACAGGAGTTCATTACTATTTAAATGGGAATAAGCCACAATTAAAGGTTAAAGTACGTTTACTGACGTTTCAATTTCCACTTCGAAAATCGAATTTCCGAAGTGGATACATTATTTATCTAAATGATGATTTATGATTGTGGTTTTGTACAAAAAAGAACGAAAAATGTCAAGAAAAGACCTGAAACACATGTCTACCAAGACTCAAGAAGCATACGATAATTACAAGGTATTAAGAAACGAAGCACATGCACTTGTCAGAAGAATAAAAAAAAAACATACCTGGAAACGTTCTTCGAAAACAAGCATTATTTGAATGTAACATAAAAAAGAGTATCTAATGTGCGGCAAAAATGATAAAATAAAAATTAGAGCTATTTAGATAAAAAATAATGTAGAGGGGAAAATATTTAAAATGTTGTTCTATTTGTTTCGTGCGTGACTGACGCAACACCTACTGCCTTCATCTGGCAGTTGTGGACCTTCCAATTTGAGGTTAAAAATATGTTAAATACATACAAAATTGACAATTATTAATAATTAGTTTTAATATTATATTTTTTCAGTTTTTGTGCAATATAATCGTAGTATTATAAACTAGGTTTCTAAAAATTCATCATAATTTACTTTTTAAACTCCAAACGAAAAAGCAAAGGAAAACTCTAGTATAACTGGTATTTATACTAGTGAATCAAGTTTTTCATGTGCAAAAGCATGTAATTAAAAACAATAATAGTAATAGTTATGATATAAAAGCTAAATTCATCAGGCAGGCTGCAGTTAGCTTAAAGCTTTATAAAATATCATTTAAGGTAAATTTTAAATATTTTCCCATTTCAATTACATAAAAATAAAATTAAGTGATATGTACTTAATTATCACTTAATTTCATTAATTATTTAATTAATAATAAATAATTATATTAATAGCACGAATCCATCTTTTTCTTTTCTCTAATTTTTTTATAATCTTTGGAAACCTTTAAAAACTACACTGACTATTTTTGCTATTATTAACACAATTAAACCCACAACATCTATTTGTACCCATTTTTGATAAAATTTATGCGTAAAGAGATAGGTCCAATTTTGTCATATTTCGCCACTACGCACGCTGGCACCGTTTGAAGGTACCACTACCATAGTTACGCACGGAGCGAATAATTGCTTCTAATCTAGTTGATGCTGAAAATTCTGCTCATTTCGTTTGAAGTATAAAATAAATGACACACCTTATCCCTACGACTAGGTCAAGCACAGGTCAATCCTGTAGTGGGAGCATACGAAAAGTAAGGGCCAAGAGGAAAATTTATATCTGAATTATTACTAAAATTATCCACTTTTAGGAATTATGAATTTTATTGCCATAGAAAGTGACAGAAGCGAATAAATCTTATATACTTACAATTTCCTTGTCAAAAACATATAACTGATCGATCATACAAAAATTTATTAGTTGTTATTTTCAATTATTTGATTTTTCGTTTTTCATGACGGAACTAATTTATTACACTATAAACAGTAGATTATGTGGTTACGGTATGTAGGTTTTTCTATATTGCTGACTAAAAACGATTTTTGACGATTTTTTATTGCCTTTTTGTGTATTAACACAAGCAGTAGTACACAGCAAGTTTTACCAACGAACTCTTTGTCTTATATTTAGTTGCAAAACTTTTAATATAATGTTGTGTAATTTTTATGTTATTTAGTAATATTAATAGAAACTACCTTCAATTTTAATCATGCTTTGTCACAGAATTTTTGTTTTATTCTATCGAAAAAAAAAAGAAATCTCTTGTTCTATCTTCTTGTGATCTTAACGACCACATTGGTCCATCTTATCCTAATCACAGCAGCTCGAAATAGATCAGCTAATGTCAGACCAGTCTATTTCCTAAAAATGGTTTGATCAGGATATACGTCAACGTCCAGGAACTGGCCCTCTTGCCTTGTATATTGAAATGTAGAAGTCGACATTTATTATTACACATAATGTGGCCGAAGTAAGCTAGTTTTCTTTTCTTTACGGTGTTAATAATTTCTTATCTTTTCTTAGCCTCTGTAGGGTTAGTTTTGTGGTGAATATATGGGAACCTTAACTTACGTTGGTAGCACCACATAGCAAAGATCCGTTGGAGATAATCTTCCTAAAACCACTAAAGGCTCTTTCAATATGAGTTTTTATTTCGTAACTTTGATTCTAGATCTCCAGAAGCATAAATTTGACTTTAAAAACATCAAAATTTAAAAAAAACGAACAAAACAAAAAGAAGAGGGAGATATACGAATTAATAGGAATACCAAGGCAACAAATAAGAAAAAAGATACACAGAACATAAATAAAATATATTTCAATGTGATTTAAATAATAATAAATATAACACCATAAAAAAACTCTTAAAGTCATAACATATGTCCACTTTACCTTTTTCGAAAACACCAACGATACGCTCATATAAAAATAAGTATATACTAATGACAGTGAACCATAAGATATCCGATATCAATTTTGTTTAAATCAATTCATTAATGTCAGTGTCCTGTTTTACGTTTTGGTAAGTTCTTTATATACGTATTTTAAAATAACTACTTGTTTCTAATTTTGTACATTTTAGAATCTTGACAAAGGCAAGAGTTTCCTGCCGAAACGTTGATTTCAATGGACAATAAAATCTACTTTCAAACTTAATATTACTTATTGAACGTAAAAACAGAAACTACTCATATATATATATATATATATATATATATATATATATATATATAATATATATATATATATATATATATATCGGAAAAAGGAGTACGACCGTCAAATTCCAATATATAAAAGGATCACTCAACAGAGTGGTGGGCTCTTATATCGGTCAATTTGTAGGTGGAGAAATGAAAGACAAAGTTGATGTGCCACTCTATCTATTTTGAAAACGTTTCGCTTTCGTATTCTGAAAGCATCATCAGTTCATTCTAAAAAGTATAATATAAGAACCACACAATCATGGAAAAGATGTTACAGGTGTTACCTTAAAAAGACATGTAGCAGTCAAAGATGTTAACAAGCTTATGAATTAAACTTGAATTAATCGTTGATTTTCTTAGTTCTTTGCATCAACTACGTTATAATTTAATATATATTTTTTATACTTCTGACCACATGGTCACTCACTGTGCTAATTGTTTAATAAGTCACTAAATGTTGTTAGTAAATTAAATGTTTATACATTTCTACTTTATATTGTCCATTTATTCAAGTTTAATTCATAAGCTTGTTAACATCTTTGACTGCTACATGTCTTTTTAAGGTAACACCTGTAACATCTTTTCCATGATTGTGTGGTTCTTATATTATACTTTTTAGAATGAACTGATGATGCTTTCAGAATACGAAAGCGAAACGTTTTCAAAATAGATAGAGTGGCACATCAACTTTGTCTTTCATTTCTCCACCTACAAATTGACCGATATAAGAGCCCACCACTCTGTTGAGTGATCCTTTTATATATTGGAATTTGACGGTCGTACTCCTTTTTCCGATGCTTTCTGTTGCAGAGGGGTTCTACGCTACCACGAGGCGCACACATGGAGACTTAGCCGTGAAGAAACTGAAGAGATGGACAAAACTAACGGAGAAATTAGCAACAACTGAGGCCAGAAGAACCTTCCTCCTTGAGTGTAGGAGAACTAAGAAAATCCCACGATTCATCGTCGACACCACTTCCAACTTATTTGCATCCACATCTAGCTCCACAGACAACAGACTATATCACAAAAGCCAAGTTTTAAATAGACAGGTGAGGGTACGATTACTTAATTTCCATATTTCTAAGGTTCACACAGATATTAATTCTTTAACTTTTCAAATAAATAATGTTACTTCCTTTCTGGACAATCATTTACCTGACAATTTGTTGGACACTTTTGAGGCTTCTTTACATAAAAAATTTAATTACATTTATAATAAATCCATGGCACACCTTAAAAATAAACTTAATAACTTAGACACTCCTGATTTTAAAAAAATTCCATTTAATCCTAAATGGATTAAAAATTTATCTAATACTGAGGTTCCTCCAGACATATTGAAGTTGTTATCTTTGGGTCCTAAATTTGGCCTTCAACCAACTTTCAAGGACTACTCAATTAGTAGAATCTTGGCTGATGTTGAGAATATTTTGTCTCATGCGGACAACTCTGACCTTTTATCTCTTAGGTCTTCTTCTAACAACATCTTGTTAAATTTCACTAAACGCCCTAGGCAAACCATATCGGAGATAGATAAGGTTTACAGGGAGACGGTATCGTTTTTAAAAACCCACCCTAATCTTCTCGTTCTCACGAGTGACAAAGGTAATGCTACTGTTCTTATGGATAGAGATCAATATTTCAGTTTGAGTAAATCACTGTTAGATGATGATAGATATTATCAACCACTTTCAACTAACCCTTGCTCTAAATTCACAAATAAAATAAATAAATTTATAACACATTTGAAAAATATTAAGATCATAGATCAACCTTTAGCTAAAACTTTACATAATTATGATGGATATGCTCCTAGATTTTATTGTCTGCCAAAGATACATAAACCTACACTGAGCATGAGACCTATTGTGTCCTCAATTAATTCACCTAATATCAATATTGCTAAATTTCTAACTGACATCCTTTCAAAGTCATATAATTACAATAATGACTTTAATATTGTTGATTCGTTTAACTTTAGTGAATTTATTAACAATTTCAAATTACCACCAGGTTACATTTTAGCAAGTTTTGATGTGGTTTCTCTCTTCACCAATTTA